GTCTTGGAAAATCCACACCTACTATCTTTTTTTAAACCTTGCTCTGTTTTTTTCTATCTTCTCCTTTTGTAGTTGTCTCAATTCCTCGTACATTAGTCCTTTATATATTGTCCCATATATTCTTCATTTTTCCTGTATTTTGCATTTTTTCTCTTTGTATGTCGATATTTTCTCAGTTTAGTCCCTCTTCCTCTGTGTACAATATACTACTAAACTCATCTATTGCATTACTAATTTTATTTCAGTTCAACAATTTCTCTTTTATTATTAAGTATCTGATTTTGTGTTGAAATTCTCCAATATTTTTTTAGAGAGTTTTTTGCTATAGGGTGCATGTCCTCACCAGAGAAAGACAGAGAGACAGAAAGTGAGAAATTACCCTCCAGGGGAGGATGGCCACACCTCAATCCCCTTTCTTCCATTCTCTTGGGATTTTGGGCATGCATACACACATGCCCCATGTAAGTTTCAGGCTGCCAGGTCCAGGACTCAAGAGTAGTCAGTCATGTGGGAGTTCACTGACATGATCAGTATACCATTTTCTGGCACCAGAAATTCTCCAACATTTTAAAGTATACATCAAAATCCATATCTGATAAGTTTAATAAATGTCTTCTGTTTTAATTCTAGCTGTTTGGTCCTATGCACTTCTTTCTAAGACACAGCCCTCAGTGATCTTATATGCAAATCTGTTATAGTGTTCCATCTTTCTTAACAAGCCATGACCTCTGACTTCTGTCCCTAAAGCACACCATTGACAAAAATCAACTCAAAGATCTAACCTAAGATCTCAAACTATAAAAATTGCTGCTGGAAAACACTGGGGAAAATCTGGGAGACATTGGAGTAGGCAAAGACTTCTTTAATAAGACCCCAAACCACAGTCAGTAATCCCCAAAATAGACAAGTGGGATTACATCAGATTAAGAAGTTTCTGCATGGCAAAAGATACAGTAATTAGTGTAAATTGACAGTCTTCAGAATGGAAAAATTTTGTAGACTATGCATTAGATAAAGAACTGATAATCAGAATACACAAGGAACTCAAGCAGCTGTCCCCAAAAGAGATGATCAACCCTATTAGAAGATGGAGAATGAATTGAAAAAAACCACTCCCTAAAGAAGACATACAAATAGTCAAAAGACATGAAAAAAAGTTCACCATCCCTCTTTGTAAGGGAGATGCAGATTAAAACCACAATGAGATACCACCTAAACCCAGTCAGAATGACTAAGATTAAAACAAAACAAAACAAAACAAAACAAAACAAAACAAAACAAAACAAAACAAAACAAAACAAAACAAAACAAAACAAAACAAAACAAAACAAAACAAAACAAAACAAAACAAAACAAAACAAAACAAAACATGATAAGTACTGGCGGGGATGTGGTGAAAGGGGAATTTTCCTACACTGCTGGTGGGAATGTAAATTGTAAATTGCCACTATGGGAAACAATTTGGAGATTCCTCAAAGATCTACAAATAGAACTACCATATTATCCAGCAATCTCACTCCTTGGTATCTACCCAAAAGTCAGAAGAATTCTTAATTGGAAAAGTGCTGACACATTGATGTTTATTGCAGCATTATTCACAATTGCTAAGACATGGAACCAACCCAAATGCCCACGAACAGATGAATGGATTGAAAAACTGTGGCACATATACTCTACGGAATACTACTCAGTCATCAAAAAACAACAAGAGCCTGGCTTTTAACAAAAAGTAGATGAATATGAAAGATTTTACTGCTGAGTGAAGCAAGCCAGGTTATGAAGGAGAGACATTGTATGTCTTCACTTAATATATATGAGTATCTGCACTCTATAGCTGAAAATGAATGACTAAAGGATATAGAAACACAGTAAATGGTTGTGAATACCAGATACAGTGTGGAAAGAAGGTGGGTGAAGGAGTAGTGTCTGAGGAAACACATTAAGGAGAACAATAGAGAGACAAGTAATATATGGGACAAAGAAATAGGTTCTTATCTATTGAAGATAACCATAGTATTGTTACCTGGACTGGTGAGAAATGTACACATGTTGGAATATTCACTTTGCAAGCTAAGTAACATGTGTCCGAATGTATAAAAGAAATTGAAATAAAAAAAGAAAGAAAAAATAATTTAGAAAACGATTGGATGAACAGTTGGGAGGTTGTAAAAATATGTTTTGCCTCACACAATTAATAAAATATATATAGCTTCACTAACATAATAGACCATAAAAGAAAAAAAGTCTTTACTTAGATTTCAATATGTTAGTGCCTACTTTCTACTAGTTTTTGATTTTTTTGTTTTGCCTGAACTTTCACACATGAGCAGATTAGGAATCAGAAAATACCTCCAGGGGAAACTGCATGTATTATGTTGTCCTCATTATAGTTCCCTTTTCTCTGGGACTTTGGTCCCACAGGCCAAGTAGCTTTCATAGCCTCGAAAACCGCTATTTGTTTCTCTAGCTGAGGGAACTTGCTATAAGTTCTGAGCTGCTATTTGTTCTCTGGTCCTGTATTAAAATTGGCAAAAGCATGGGGGTGGACAGGGAGCACGGGAGAGAGGCTGCAGGAAGTGCAGGACTCTCCCCTCTGCTCCACTCTTTTCTCAGGGATCTCCGTGGTCTCCATTTCTAGTTGCCTTGGTTGCTCTCTGATGCTGTTTAACTTTATTCAGTTTTTATAGATGGTAAAGTTGGTTCAGTGAGTGTATTAGTCTGATTTAAGTCTAATGGGATAAGGCTAGACAAATCCAGCAGCAGAAGCCTCCTGCAAATAGCTCCCCTGTTTTTCTTCCCATCTCCTAAAGGATGCTACTACCAACTGTATAGGCACACATACTTCGTGTTTAACTCTCTCTTCTTTATTTTATCTCCATGCTATTTAGTTAACAAAATGTGTAAATCATATCTGCAAAATTTCTCCCTTACATACTTTCACCCATGGCAATCACTTCATATTATAAGTATAGCCATTATTTCATATATAAATGTGACTTTTATCTTATTTATTATTGAGATTTTTATTTGTCAACTACATCATACATATTTACTGTGTACGATGTGCTGTTTTAAAATATGTGCACACTGGAGAATGGCTAAATTGAGTTAAATAACAGTAAACATTACTTTGTGTAATTATTATTGTTTTTGGTGAGGACACATATAATCTATGCTTCTAGCAATTTTCAAGAGTACAGTACATTATTATGAACTATAGTTACCATGATGTACAATGAATCTTTTTTTTTTTTTGGAGAGGTTTTTGCTATAGGGCGCGTGTGCTCGCCAGACAGAGAGAGACAGAGAGACAAAAAGCGAGAAATCACCCCCCAGGAGGCATGGCCACGCTGCAATCCCTTCTCCTCCATTCTCCTCTCGGGGTTTTGGGCATGTACGCACACGAGCCCAGCGGGAGTTTTAAGCCACCGGGTCCGAGACGCAAACCGCGGTCGACTATGTGGGAGTCCAGCGACATAGCCATTACGCTAACTACTGGTTCCTACAATGAGCCTCTTAAACTTATTCCTTCAAGTGAAATTTTTATCCTTTGACCGGAACATCCTCAAACCCCACCCCACAATGTCCCTTCTAACCTATCCCAGTATCCCATTCTATTTTATACAACTCTGAGAAAAGTTATATTAAGGATTGCTTTAATCTTTTCATTGCACTACTCACTACTTTCTGAACCTCTTTTCTGTCCCCGATTCTGTCTCTTCTAACTCCCATAATACCTAATGTATGCTGCATAAGCTTCACATCATTTATTTATAATAACCTAGTTCATAACTACTTTTTTTCTTTTAAAATTTGTCAGAGAGTGCATGTACTTGCTAGAGAGAGACAGAGAATCAAAGAAAGAAAGAGAAAGTAGTCCTGATGGAGTGTGGTTATGCCCCAATCTCTTCTTCCTCTGTTTCTTCCTTCTTTTGGGATTGTGTGCGTCTCAAGCCAGAAGGGCTGGGATTCAAACTGTGGAGCTGGCTATGTGGGATATGGCTTCTTTAACCAGTAGGTCACAAGGCTGGTCCCATACTACTTTTTCTATATCACTTTCCATTATTTTTATAACAGAAATATGCCTCTATTTATCCCATTAGAATAACACTATTTCCAATAGATTATATCCCATACATACATTTCTACTTCCGTAACTGTTTGCATCATTTTCATTACAAGGTAGTACTTGTTTCCCTTTGCTTGCTATTCCTGACTGAGTTTTTCAAAGTCTACATCAAATGCTACTCCATCCATAAATATTGTGTGCAGTTCCTTCAAAAAAAGGTTATACCTTTCTTTTGGGAACTCCTATTGTACTTTGTTATGCTTCCTAAATCAGCAGTTACTTCATTTACCTTGCTTTATCATAATTTTTGTATTTATTAATATCTCCTAGAGTACAAGTTTCCTTCAGAATGATGTCTTCATCTTACTCATTATTGCCCTGCAGCACCTGGCATTGACTCTGCCATATAGAAGACCCCCTTCGATAGAACAACACAGAACTCTGACACACATCAAGTGGAGAGCATTACATGTGTGATTGTGTGATCACAAATGTGTTTGATGAAAGCATATTTATAAATAAGAAACCTGTTAAATAATGATTTATATCTTACAAATATAAATTTCTAAGACAGTTACAAGTTTGAATGAAAGGGAAATCTGATTATACAGATCAAAATACAAGTATTCTCACTGCCCTCCCATCTGCATTGTAGCCCTTACAAACAGGAAATAACTTTATCAGGTGAACCACATGCTACTATGTCTGTCTTTGAATTGCAAATCCAGTTAAGACGCACTGAAAAATACAACACAACTCAATTAAATATGACTCCTAAAGACATACCATCTTTTAACATTAATTTATAATTAGAACGTTAGCAATCAATTGAAAATAATGTGAAAAAATTTTAGTGCTGTATGTTTCAGGTGTGGTTTTATAGGACTACGAATTGGGAACAAACTGGGTATATGTGAAAGTCACTACTTACAAGGAATATTCAGGAACAGCATCCTTGAAGGCAGGAAGTTCTCGCACATACTCATTATAAAACCATTTCACTTTGAAATGCAAATTCATATAATCGGTGCTCTTGCATAACCGCTGCTTTTCATGTTCTATAACAGATAAAATCAAACATTTAATAAAGTTTGGTTTGCCAACAATGCTGGTCGTTCCTATCTACTTTTATTGTTGATATTTCTGAAAGGAAGAAAATAGTATGATAGAGGTAAAGGCAAAGTGAATTACTAATGACAGACCTGAAATTTTACAAAATGCAAAAATAATCAGAGGTTCCACATGGAGGAGGTCAAGCAGTAATGTGAAATAGCACAAGTGTTCCAATGTGTCTTACTGAAAAAGGTGAAAATTCTGATGCACTTAAAGAGTAATAACACACAGAATTTCTTCTATTTTTTATCTGCAAGCTTTCATGTTTTGAATACTTTTAGCCTGAAGCAATGTGACAGTGAAATAAAACTCTAAGCATGGATAAATCATACATCACACTAGAAACCGTAATCACTGATTTGCACCGGAAATGTGAATGGGTAGATCATATTTCTAGCTTAGTTATTTAAACACTTAAAGAATTAAAGACAGTTGAAAAGGGGGCTGGCAGGTGGAATGGTGGTTAAGAGTGCTGGACTCCCACATGGCTGACCATGGTTTGAGTCCTAGACCTGGTGGCTTGCTTTCTCACTTTCTCCCTCTCTCTGCCCTCTTCTCTCTTTCTCTCTCTCTCTCTTTGGTCAAATTTAAATAAGCAAATAAATAAAATCTTTTTAAAAAGACAGTTGAAAATAAGGGGAAATAAATATATGTAACTTTTAAGCCATATGATTTCTTCACTTTTTAACTAAATGTAGTTCATACTGTGTGGCTTTTTAATATTTCTTAAGCAAAATTTTCTACCATGTGGCAAGTTTTCTCTCTCTCTTGCTCAAGAAGTACAGCTTAAAATTCTTATTGTCCTGAATATACAGTACTGGGGAACAGAGACAAATAATGTTAGAAAGCATGCTTATGTTTGCTTTTTCCCTCCTAATATTAATATCTTAGCCAACACTGGATACAACTATTAATTAAATGCAACTAAGCCTAAAGTATTCCTACTTCTATTCAGGTTGAAAGTGCCCTCTGAGAAGATAGTTGTGTTTAAGATCTGTGACTCTCCCTTAAGCTTAGGGCTTTGATGTATAATAAGAACATCCTATACTTTCCCTTTCAGACTACATTCTGATAATATTTATTGAAGCAATTAGATTGTTAAAAGCTAACTGAAGGCCTCCTACTTTCCAAAAACCAATTATAGATGAACTAAACTTAATGATAAATATAAGAAAAAACATAACCGCAAGTCACACATTTTCAAATGATCCAAACAGTGATTCAGTTAAAACCGTTTGCAAATAGAGAGTGTTTGTGTGTGTGTGTGTGTGTGTGTGTGTGTGTGTGTGTGTGTGGTAGGGGGGATGTAGATTTGTACTCACACAGAAAAAAGAGTAATACATTACTACTTCTAGTCCAAAGTCCCAAACAAAATTATGAATATAATAATGTTTTGCTTCAGCTCTCTTCAAATTATTCAACTTTTTATTTTTTTTCCATTCAATGGTGGCTCTCCCTTCAGATGTCTAGTATTCTTTCTTCACTCATTAAGAGGGAACATTTATTTGATAAACTTTTAAGTAGGAATTTAACATACTACTACCCTGAAACCCAGACAAAGAGAGACCTTTGCCCTGGGACCCACAGATGAAGAGAACTCAATTTATCAGAAATATAGGCTCAAGCGCGATTTCATTTTTATTGTCTCCAAAGCACTGAAGTGTTACATTATAGGTTTCTGGGGTAGGGATGGAGAACATAATACATTTTCTCCAGAAATACTGTTTTCTTAACCTTTACATTCTGAGTTTGTAATCTAATTTAATAAAAGTAGCTTACAAACTAATCTAACACAGATGATAACAAAATCTCAATTATTCTGATGGGATTTTTAAAAATACATATTCAAAACATAAAATAGAAAAAACAGTCATTGAAAATTGAAAGGACTCATGGGCTCTGCAGTCACCTGGAATCCCACACTTGGTGCTGGTCCAGAGCAAGCTGGGATTCTAAACACCTGCTCTCATGACTAACACCTCTTGCTGTTAATGATTAACACCCTCTAAGGCCCACAGAACCATCTGGACCACTTTTGTCTTATGTCCTAGAAACAAAAGGTAACTGTGTCCACATGCTACCACTATTTGCAGGTAGATAAGAGACACATACTACTGCTTTGAGGAGTGTGGAGGAATTTCCACTGTGGAAGCACATAGGTAAGGGAAAGGGTGAGTTAATTAATTTGCCAAGTTCTTTCTCTGAATAGCAGGGATACAATAGATTATCGTAAAGCAAAGTGTCATTTCCAAGTATTAACAAGCACTTGTTCTCTTTTTAAATTTGCTATACAGCATGTATGCTTACTAGAGAGAGAGAGGACAAGAGAGAGAAAGAAAGTAAAAGAACACCTCTCCCGGGGCTGGTGGATGACATTGTGGTTACGGCACTGGACTTCCACAGGGCTGACTGTGGCTCAAGTCCCAGACCTGCCAGTTTGCTTTCACACTCTTCCTCTCCCTATCTCTGCCTGTGGTGAGTGTATGTGTCCTAAAACAAGATTAAAAAAAAAAAATAAGAAAAGAAATAAAGTTAAATAATTCTTAAAGACAAAAAATGAGGGACCAACAGTTAGCATAATGGTTATGTCACTGGACTCCCTGTAGTTGACCGTGGTTCGAGTCCTGGACCCGGTGGCTTAAACTCACGCCGGGCGTGTGTGCATGCATGTTGAAGATCCCAAGAGGAGAATGGAGGAGAAGGGATTGTGGCATGTCCATTCCCCCTGGGGGGTGATTTCTTGCTTTCTGTCTCTCTGTCTCTCTCTTTCTGGTGAGCACACATGCCCTATAGCAAAAACCTCTCAACAAAACAAAACAAAACAAAACAAAACCCTCCCTACATACACACACCAGAGGGGATGACCATGCTATAATCACCTTCCCTCAATATTCCTCTCAGGATTTTTTGGGAATGCATGCAAATACACTTGGTGTGTTTATCAAGTCACTCGGTCTAGGATTTGAACCATGCAGTCAGCCATGTGGGATACAGTGACTTTAACCATCCCGCTACTTAGCTGGCCCAGCAAGCACTCATTTTCTTACTTTACTTTGGTTTCAATTTATTCCCGTGACAGTGCTTATAAATAAGTGTAGTACTCATGACTCAAAGCAATGATGACTGGGAATATTTTGATTAAACTATGTGTATCACTTTTAAGTTTGTATAAGTGCAAACATACATGAAGCACGATATTGACTCTTCGCCAGCTAGATGGCCATGAAAAGCTACAATTGTCAATTATTCAGCTTTATTCAAATTATTTACATAGAACTTTTTACATCAAATAATAATTTACACATTATCTTCATTTTTTCTTTTTTGGAGAGGTTTTTTTTTTTTATTTTTTGCTATATGGAGTGTGTGCTCGCCAGACAAAAGACAGAAAGTGAGAAACCACCCCCTGGGGAGATGGCCACGCTGCAGTCCCTTCTCCATTCTCCTCTCGGGATCTTGGGCACGCACGCACACGCGCCTGGCATGAGTTTTAAGCCACTGGGTCTGGGACGCGAACCATGGTCGACTACATGGGAGTCCAGTGACATAGCCATTACGCTAACTGCTGGTCCCATTATCTTCACTTTAATAAGTACTTTCCAATATTTTGGAAGAAAATAACTTCCTGAAAACTAGAGATGAACTATAGCTAAAAATAATATAAAATTTTAATTGTTACACTTTAAGGTGTACTTTTGACACTTTTTATAAAATATATATTCAGATCATGTCTGTTTTGAATTTATTTTTTTAAATGTAATGCCAAAAGTATTTACTGAGAGCGTATCTTGGGCTAGATCATGTATGAACCATTAGGATTGTAAAGGTGAGGGACTCACATTCTCTGATCTAAAGTGCATTAGCTCATGATGGAAGGGCGGCATTTTAACAGCCAAGTCAATACAACGTGGCAAATGCCATGGTTTACAGGATGTGTGAGATGTTGTGATCTCTTGCATTCATCCCAACTTTGTCCTCTAAATGAACAATTAAGTAGAGAAATGATTTATTAATAGTCATATGTAGTGTATGAAGAGGAATTTTTGACTCAGGAGACACATTATCATAAAACATGACTTATACTTACAAGGAATACTATTTAAGATGTATATGTCTTAGGGCCAGCAGGTGGAGTGGTAGTTAAGATGCTAGATTCCTACATGGCCGACCACAGTTCAAGTCCTGGGCCTGGCAGCTTGTTTACTCATTCTCTTTCTCTCTCTCTGTGTGTCTCTCTCTGGTGAGCCTGCATATCCTATAACAAATTAGAGGAAAAAAATAATGATAAATAAAAATGAATGAATAAGTCTCTTTTTTTAGAATTATTTTATTATTTAACTTTATTTCTTTATTTGTTTTAATTTGACCAGAGAAGGACAGAGCAAGAGAGAGAGAGAAAGAAAGAGAAAGCGAGAAAGCAAGCCACCAGGTCTGGGACTCAAACCACAGTTGGCCATGTGCGAGTCCAGCACCCTTAACTGCCTTGCCACTTGCTGACCTCTGAATAAATAATTCTTAAAAAAAAATGTGTCTTTTTGTGAAATTGTTAATATGTTTCCAGTGAAAACCATGTTTTTTTGTTTGTTTTGTTTTTTTCTTCCCTCTACTCATGTTTTCGAATATTCTGGTAGTAAGTGTGGGTGACACTTGTGTTTATGCTGTTCTATAAAAGAAAAGGATTCTCAATCCCTACCTCTTGCAATGTACTGCGGAAAGGAGGTACGAGAAGCTGTGGGCAGCACTGCAGTCGACTCATCAGGAAGACCCTCTAGTTTATTTGCTGAACTCATTTGTACTTCACTTCTTCATTTTTTTTTTTTTTTTTTTTTTTGAGAGAGATTTTCACTGTAGGGCGCGTGCGCTCGCCAGACAGACAGAGAGAGACATAGAGACAGAAAGCGAGAAATCCCCCCCCAGGGGGGATGGTCACGCCGCAGTCCCTTCT